ACAGATGCAGGAAAAAAAATGATGTCTGAAGTACTTGAGAAGGATAAACTAAGAAATAATAAGTTATCTCTTGTAAGTTATGTTAACTATTCTATCGGATGGTAAAAAATAGTTTTGAATAGTCTCTGGTGTAATGGAATAAATGATTTGAAAATCCCTCCTGAACACTCACTGTATTCGACATTATTAATATTTATTTGAATATTTTCATCCTCATTATGCATATTATCATTTAACCTTAACCGATGTAACATTACTTTGTCATTTGTCCGTCTTCTTTTACTCAATACTAATTATTTGTCTTTGTTTTGATTGAGACTTATCATGAATGCTTCACTTGCCTATTGTATGATGCTAGACTGTTGACAACATGGCGTTGTTTTACTGTTCCCAACATTTTGTTTTGGCTCAATTTAAGGTTACTCTGCGAACTGACTGTTTGTCTTTTGACTGTCTACTGGGAACGTTTACTGATTGACTGATTCTTTTAGGTAGAGTTTTGATCCTATTTTGTTGAGAATATTTTTATCACTTCTCAGGTATTTAACAATTGTATTTGGTCAGTCAATTTTTGGCTGTATAGTACGTATTCCATGCTAGAGAAATTTTTGGACTGTATAGTGCCCATCGGCATTGCTGAGGTACTTTTGTAATTTTTTGATATAACTTGTTGTTGTTTAATAGAACCACAGATTCACCATAAATCTGTCACGTCAGATCGTGTTTTGATATTGTTGAAAGATGTTCTTTGAATGTGTTTGACTCAAGGAAGTTCGAAAAGTTATACAATAGAAAGCAGTAACTTGTTTGGATTGCGTTAGTTTAGTTCCGTTAAATTGTTTCCTGCTTTTAAACCGAAATACTTGGATTTCAGTCGTTACATCGGGTACTTTAAGCTTTCGAAGGACGAAATTTGGCTATTTTTCGCTTGTTCATGGTAAGTCAGTTCTGTTTTGAACTCTTCATATGAATTCATACAGGAACATATTACGGGGATTTCGAAGACTGGTTACTATAAGACAATTCTAGTCAATGATAATTTGTTTGTTACATAGTTAGTTTTTAAGCGAATTCAAGTGTCTGTTCAGCTCTTTCTGAGTTACGTATTCATACGGCTGATTTACTGTATAGCCAAGAATTAAACCCGAATATTTTAGAGATCCGGAAGACTTGAATTTGAACTCATTTTTTCCGTTGACATGGAAAGTAACTTACGATCTTGTACAGTTATTTGTAACTTCAAAATTTGACACCGTATTCCAACAGGTAGGTAAGTGAAAAAAGTAAGAACAGTGGATATTGATTGGTTGGAAGCAGTTAGCAGGAAGCTTTGGTCGGTCTATGTTTCCTGCTCGTTGGGATTCTTTAACAAGGCATATCCGGAACATCAAGGGAACTGATGTCCATCATGAGGTTCAAACCCGCGTCATCCAGTGCCGCAGTCAGTGAGGTTACAACTAAGGTGCCAGTTGCCTCTATCCTGTCGTGATGGTGAGTCTTCTAGCTAGGTGGTGACATCGCGAAATGAGTGATAGAATCCTGCTGGCAGTTAGGAAGAGACAATGGGAAACTGATTATTCTGCAGTGACCAATCAAAGTGAGAACAATAGTAGAGAAATAATAATGACAACAGCGCTAAAAAGTCAGGAGAGGAATGAGAAAATTGTGAGTGAAATGAGTTCAAACGGCAGAAATTTCTACGCAGAACATAAGTTATTGCCAATAAGAATGAAGAAATATGAAAATAGACAACAGTCATATGGTCAGTCTACGGATAGTGCACACATATATTTAGGTTGCAGTTTACTGTGTTAGAAGCAAAGCTATATTTTGTGGTCTATGTGACGGCTAGGAGTGGAATTCAGAATGCCTATTTCATCCTATTTCAGACTTGTCAACTGGATGTACCTACACCCCAGTGAGTGGTGTTTTCCCACTGAGACTCGAACCCAGTACCCATTGCTTCAAACGCCACAGTGTTATCCACTAGGCCAATGGAGCACCAGAGTCACCAATTTTGCAACAAGTATCAGTTGTTGTTCATCGATATTTGTAATTTCCCGTTGCTATACGGGGTCCAGTTGCTCGACCTCTTTTGATAGATGGGCTCCGATACGCAAATAAAACTAGTATTCTAGATTTTGACTGGTAGCCATCAAATAGACTACAATATAATGAATACCCAGGGAGTATCTAAGCATCCGCGCAAGAGCCCATGAACTAACAGAGGTCATGCAATTCGACCCTGTATAGCAACGGGAAATTACAAGTATCAGTAAACAAAGTTATCTCTGTTTTACAGTCAAGATGGATAGTGGTATTAGTAAGACGTTTAGTTTGATTATTTGGTTTTAAGATTTAATATATATAGGGCCTATGGGTACTGAAAAAATATTATGACCTTTAAAAAACAATTACTTCATGAAACACTGAGAACAGTATATGGGAATGTCGTATTAATTTCTGCTTTCCATATTTTGTGCAAAATAGAGTTAATAAACAAGTATATTTGACGGTATTATTTTATTCGGCCACTTTTCAAAGGTAAAAAAAGAACTAAGATACATCAGTAATTCATTCAAAAGTTTTCTCAGAATACTTCAATTCTTATTTCTTTGATTTTGATAATAATAATGTAAAACTTTCAAACAATCTACTACGAGAAAAGGATACTGGGTACTTTTTTCAACCAAACTTATCAAACAAATTGGCAAGATTTTCAGGATTTTATGACATCATTTTTCAAGTATTTTAAAATAACTTTCAAGCTTGTTTTGCATTTATTATTGTGTTCTCATACGAAACAAAGATTACAAACTAATAATCCGAAGCTTCTAAAGTAGGGGAATTTCTACTAATTACTTAGTTTATATTATTTGCTTGCTGTGTATTCTTGTTTCTGGATTACTGGTTTATCACTGGTTTGCAACAACAGATATCTAATCAACTCATGACATTCAGCTGGCTAGAGCCTTACAGAGGAAAGTTGGTCATTTTACCCAGTACAAATTCTCACGACTTTGCAGTTTTTGAATATACGTGTGAATTTTGAAAGGAGTAGCAATGCATCCTTCAAAGCCAAACATATCCTTGTAGAAGTGATGTATAACTGTGAAATAGTGTGGAGACCACTGTACTATAGGATTTTATCCCCTTTCATAAATTATCAGATTATTCTTTTTGACATTTTGATGCGAAGACGGCGTAATAATGTAGAATCAAGCTTACGGGAGGTCATATTTGTAATTATGTGTTAGATTTCGAAGAAAACTACTTTAAACTTAAAAGTTTATGTCATATCGTTAGCGTGCAGTATCACAGGAATCCCCGTTAAACAAGTCATTTGAACAACACATTGACTGGAAGTTTATAAATTGCTTATACATACAAGCTAAAGTAAGTTATGACGTAAAGGTATGGAAAAACTTTAAAATATTCTTCAGACATTTTTAAGCAATATGAAATAAGGCAGAGAGTATAATATTTTGTCAGTAGTAGAGTAGATAGGGTAGATAGCTGTGATTATAGCAACTAGTATGAAATTACTGTCAGGAGTATATAATAACTTTTGAAAGAAAAGTGTGTTTGACCAGACATTTTAAAGGAATGAAATTTAGATGCGAAGGCGTCAACTTGAAATCGATGTAATCATTAGAGCGCGATACATTAACATCTGTTCTAGTGATGTTGTTTTGGACAAAAGCCAAAATCATCTGAATGGTCGAAGGCAGGTCCTAAAGAGAACAATTTACGATAAAATCAGCTGACTGGTTGTGACTGTATTTTTTAGAATTTTGAAATTATTTTGAGTTACTTAAAGTTAGTCAAATTCTTGAATCCTCCTAGCATTGGTCATTCTATTTCATAACATACTGTATGCAAGCGGCGGTGAAATAAGAAGTATGTTTTCCGGTTAACCGAATTATCCTACGAGTATAATAAGTAAGCTTATTTGAGAAATTCTCTTCAATGTAGCAGTGAAGGCCTATATTCATTAGTATTTAATGAATTTGTAGTAGAGATAAACTTTTCAATTAGCTCATCTGTTCATAGTAGCTTTGACTGACAAGTCAATGAATATTACGTGCGGAGTGAATTCAAATGTTTTCGAAGATGCAAGTTCCTGGGAACCAATTTTACTGGTTAGAGGAAGGATATTTGAGATAAACCTCAACCGTGGCTTTCAAAAATGTCTAAGGGTTTATATGGATCGAAACGGAGGTGAATTCTATATTAGCTCATAAAGTTAGTCACTAATATGGAGAAGAACTGAAGGCCAGTTATGAAAACCTCTTCTTCAGCTAAGTTTTGTTAGTGTGCGTTCAGTAACAGTGTCAAAAATGTCTGGATTTAGAATTCCTTGAGGTATTGACAACAGTGATGGTGACCTTCAAGATCGGTAAACCAAGAAAGACTATCGATGGTTTCCCACGACTGTTTCGCATAAACCATATTATCATCTTAAATTGATACCCACTTGTTGGTCACTTACAACAGTAATACAGGCTGACAAATTCATCAATGTCAGAATCTTAAGGATATTCGGTTTATACAAATTATGGTTGCATGCGAATGAAAACTGAGATAATTGTCGTGAAATCTCTGGTTCCGTATAAATGCGGATTTTCTTTTTAAGGTAGTATTCATCACGGTCTGACATCAGTCGGTTAGTGTACTTAACCATAAAACGTGAAAGTCCTGAGTTTGATCTGTGACGGGGCGGAGTTGTGGGTGCTTACCACTGAGGAGTCCCATATAACAACGGAACAGCTGTCGAGTACTCTTAGGTTTTCAGTGGTTCTCCAAATGATGTCAGTCCCCACGATGAATACAACATTACAAATCTATAGTTTTGTTGAATTTCTTTCTATTTCAATAATTAGTTCAGTGTATCAAGATTTATCTACAACCAAAACATGACTCAAATAATATGCTCAAGTTTGGTTTACTTTATAAAATATCAATACATCATCAGTATCATCAGTACAAGAAACACTTACGCTTTTATATATGTTAATTGTTTTGATAACTTTACATTGGAGGCATGATAATTCAGAACTTGATTTTGTAATTCACTCAACCGTTCCTGAGCACAACTAAGAACATTATTTGCTAGAAATAATTCAGTATCATCGGGAAGTGTATTCCTTTGTACATTATTTGACATGTTACTATTTGTAAGGCTGTAAAGATCATTTGCCTTATTAGTTATTATTCCAGATGAGTATCTGTTCCGTCTATTTGATTTAATCATTCTTAAAGAATTTCGAAACGGTGGATTGATTAAAGGTTGGTTCATATTTGTATAGGATTGTGAAGAATTTCTTAGGCTGCTTATTTTACTGGTTTGACATGGTAAATGATTTTGACGTTTATCATACAATTTCGATGCTGATATTGAAGTGATCTCAAAGAATGTGTTGCTTTTCGTTAACTCACTGTTTTTTAGTCTTGGTAGACTACCACCACGTACAAAACGAGGAGTGGATAGCTGAAGATTCTCTGAAGGAATATACGCGTTTCCTGGTAAGGTATTGCTTCTTTGAACTCTGCTGATTCTCTATAAAGAAACACAGAACACAAAAAGATAGGAAAATCATCTAGCAATATTTCATACGTAAAATCTTGGATGTTTTGACTCATCTCAAGAAATAAGTCATTACTTCCACCTTTGCTGATTTACTAGATATACCACACAGTGAAACAGTATTATTTACTGGATTACGTTTCGGACACAGTTTATTGTCCATAGTTAAATCAAAATAACTCCACAACTTTGAAACATGATTTATATATTTCTAATTTTCTCACCTCCTTTGTGGTATGGGTAGTAGGATTTTCAATATATTCTAAACAGGCACTGACTCATCCCTGTTGTATGTATTAAGTGCTGATTAGATAAATATAGCAAGGTGGGTTGGGTGGAGAGATTGATAACTGAATCTTTGTTTATAGAACCAACACCAAATAGGTGCAACAGGAATAATTCAGCACCTGTTCCGGATATACAGAAAATCCTACTACCCACGCCACAATGGAGGTGAGAAAATTAGAACTATACCAATCATGTTCTAAAGTTGTGTAGTTATCTCGACGTGACTATGGATAATAAATTGTATTAGAAACGTAATTCGCTAAGTACTACTGTTCCACTGTGTGGTACTTCTAATAAACCAATGAAAATGGAATTGCATTCTGCCACAGTGCTCAAGTTTTGCCTTTGTATTAAGTCATTACTCCTACTTTTTGTATATCAAAATCTATTAATCAGTTCTACAATGTACTTTATTTGCCACTGATTTCTTAGTCCCTTTTAAAATTGAAACAGTCCCAAAATTAATCAGCTTGACAATAAAACATAACTGAATCATTTAGAGATGCTTTGTTGTACTAATTAATTCTACATTAAAGGTTAAAATATTATCTTCAGCCTTCTGCACTTATACGAATTACGGCTATGTGTATCCTTATCATCTATCTTCAATTCTCACCTACTAGAGGCATTCTTATGGAGGGGAAAATGAGGAGGATATGAGACATTTATAAATCGAGGGATGAAATAATGTGATTAGGGTATGAAAATGTAAGTGACACTTGTGTTTTATATGTGGTTGCTTTTGGGAAACGTATATAAATTTTAAATCAGTATTTAAGGTTTTCAGAGTCAACATAAAGCTTTATACCGTCCGTATTTAAAATGAAACTGGAGAATAAGCCGTACTACATAGTTCATCGAATGAGTTTCGAAATGTCAGCCGGTGGAACTACGTACAGTGACTCAAAGCTTCATGTGCTGACAATGAGACTAGATGATACTGAGTTCAGTTTCGAGAGAGGTCATATTTGCAAAAGTTTAAAGAGTATAAAAACATAATCAAACATACAGATCGAAACGGTGATTGGATACACTATAAGTTTGACCAGCTTTCAATCAGTAATCGATTGTGAAATTTTATATTAAAAGTAAATCTGATAGAGATAAAAAATATTCTTAAGACTGAAAAAACACTCAGGACGTTATTTGACACTTGTTTTTTCCCACTGCTTTACAGGATCAGATTGCTTGACTTCAGTTGGCAAATGAGCTGTTATGCAGATGACTGGATTCTGCTGACTATTCATGATGTTGTATTCACTTTGGTGACTAGCAGTGGAATCTAGGATGCCCGTTTTGTCCTGTTTAGGACTCGTCAGTTAGGTGAGTGTTATTCCCACTGCTATGAGAACCCATTATTTATCGTTTCAGGACCATCTAGCTTTTCGACCCCGTGTAGCAACTAGAAATTACAAGTACCAATAAACAAGAACTAATACTCTTTTCAAAGGAGGTGACTTTGCTGCCACAGTGGATCACGCTTTGGTGTTTGAAGCGATGGATAATCGGTTCAAGTTTCAGCGGGAACAACATCGCTCACTGGGGTGCAGGTACACCCAGATGAAGAGTTTGAAATAGGATGAAATGTGAGTCCTGGATTTCACTGTTGCTCATCAAGATGATTACTCAAGAATAATTAATATTTCCCAGATCCCTTCTCAAGAGTCTGTAGACCTAAAGAAATTTCAGGATATGAAAACCTCTTCGATAGCTTCTCCTTGTTATCGCTGAGTAGAGGACGTGGAGATGAAATTTTTCATGTATCAGTAACACCTTTTTTATTTTTCATAAAGTTTAACATAGTAGCAGACTAATCTTTTTATAAGACGCCAAGGATTGTAGTCCGAAAAAAAATCTGTATTGTGGTATAATTTGAAGCTACATCCCAGGGACTTAATTTTAATCTCACTCAGCGTCCAGATCCAGGGTATTTATACGGAACACTCAGTGGATGATGATATCAAAATACTAACTGAAACATGTGTGGAAAATAGATATCCATTGAAGTTCATAAACCACTGCAAAAATCAGCAAGGATTCAAACCTGATTTCTACTCTGTTTCGAAGAAATCCGTTTACATCGCGTTACCATACAGAGGAGAATCTAACAGTATAATATTAAAACGAAGGTTAAGATCTGCTGTTAGCAAAACATACTATGCAGCTAAGCTTATCATAGTTGAGAAGACCAAACACCTGCTGCAACACAGACCTCAACGTTGTATAAACGATTGCGTCACATTCTACTGCGTTTATAAATTTATAAATGTGTGTGGACAAACATACATAGGGAGGACTAATCGTGATATGCACTTGAGGGTAGGGGAACGTGTTCCGAAATGGCTACGAAAGCAGCTGGATCCACAAATAATATATCATTTGATTATTTCTCAGTCTATCATGGAGTGCTTACATAATCGTTACCATCGACTTTTGATATCAGCAAGGTATTGAAGGAATTGAACAGTAATCAGTGTACCAAATTGGCTGTACAATGCAGTTAGCATTCAATACTCAAATGTCTATCTGTTCAAAATACAAAATCATCTTGTACTAAATTCCAACAATCTGTTTCCTGTATGCTACAAAAGTAAGGCATGAATTAACACTTCTTTTACAGAATACCAAGTTAAATACGTGTGAAACTGTCGTCATATATCCATGAATATGCTTCGTATTGTTAGCGCGGGAAAAGAAATACATCTAGACAATCCACAATTAAACTAAGGGTAACACTTTAATAAATACCATTTACCAGCTATAAGCGTGGGCTAGTTAAAACACTTAGTAGGAGAGCTAAAACTTATGTTATGCGGGCAAGTTAGAGCAAGCATTAAGTAGTACTGAGAAGTGTCTTAGAGATAATAAATATCCTAAATGGTTTATTACGAATTAAGCAGAACATGTAGAGAAAGAGAGAGAGAGAGAGAGAAAGAAAGAGAGCTGAACACCTAAATGTTGCAAAGGAGAAAACCTTTATTCATCTTATATTCAACAGAGATGCAATATCTGAAAGAATTGACACAAGAATCAAAGGAGGTTTGAAAAGAAGCATTCTTTCAGCCAAACTTACATCAATATGCGATACCGTACGCTCACTGAACCTGTTCCAGTTGGATGAATATCCCACTCATTTCACCACCAACTGCACACATGAGTTAATAAGCAATTACAGTAGCAAGTACATTAAAAAGGTTGGGTGGGGTGCATTCATTTGATTCTCTGAACATATCTCGAAACATTTTTGCCCAAAAGGAAGTAAGGTTCTAAACACTGCAATCGGCAGACCCCACATGGACACAGAACATCAAGTTAATAACTTGGGTGCTTTTAAGATAATAAACGTACAGAAAATGTCTGGATTACTACCCTTCTGTAAGGCGCTTTCTACCGAACCTTTGCATAGAGAACGAAAATGTGGTCAATCGCTCACTTCTAAGGTGACTATAATTTGACCTTGTTTCATGTTAATTACATAATTCTTTACTTCACCAACTGAGTTGATCTCAATCTTATGAATATCATTTCTTTGCATGTCAGGTAATCCAATTAGCCAGTGTTAATTGCTTATTTCCTACATTACTTATTCCTTTGTACTATTCTATTACATACTATATAAATTATAACACAGTTCAAACGAACCATATGATATGAGTAAATTGCTTATCATTCTGTACCGGGATGCAATCAACTTGCCAAAACGTACTCGGCTCCGAATCCTTTAGACTGCAGAAGCAGTGGTAGTCAGGACTAAACAATCTAAGTTACGTGGTTAGAATTAGCAGCTGTTGCCACGATAACTATTGTGACCCGATTCAGGACTCACGCTTTTTTTAAACATTCTGCTCCATGTAATCTAATTTTCTAACTCCATACTGTATATATCTGAAATAATTTAATCACATTCTCCTAATACATTTAGTTCCCTAACGGCAGTAACATTCTATCACGCTATTATTACTCAGGCTATCTATCTGTCTTATAGTATTACACAAGTCGTACAATCGTTTAGACAATCTATTGAATTCCAGTAGTAATTAATTATGACATTAACGCTCATGTAAAACATTTCTGAATTGATTTTCTCAACTGTGTAATATTATTAGCAAATTATTAAACGAAATTTTAATATTGTCGACGTACATTATGTATATATAAGTGTAGGATTTGGAAATGTTATTATGAAGAAAATTCCTTTTTTTCTCTCTTTCAAATGACTTTTAAGTTAGCAATTGCTGCGACCTACGCATTTAAATTATTGACTTCCTTATTCTGAGTTAAGTGCTATTAACAAGTACTTTTACACTGTATGCAGCTGAGGAGTATTCGTGAAGTGAAATATCATTTCTCTTGATAGTTTTTGTCCTTCTTGCTTTACCTTGTTCTTGTTAATGAATAAATGGGTATATTGCGTCAGTTATCCAAATATATCAAGGAGTTCAAATGCATGAAATGTGTACTTATACTGTTCAAATAGGTTACTTTGTTACCGATATATCATAAACCCGATTCAAAATAGATTACTAGAAATATATCACTTAAAACTGCATTTAGCAATTACAAAGATCCAAAATGAAAATAAAGAGATAGACTTTGAGAAAATGTTTGAATTAAAGTCAACTGAAAAAGTTTGAATTATTTTTGCATTACGTTTTAAAAGAAAGTAACACAAGGAGGCTACAACA